GGCAGACTCCTTCCCCATATCCTGAGAACACTGATTTTCAGATACAGGGGTACAAATGAACTGGGTGGGATTCCTTTGTGCCTAGACCCCACTTATAGCCTGAAATTCTGTGATCCAGGCTTTATCATCTTCTGGATAATCTTGCTAAAGCATCCCATTGTCATGCTTTTCATCAGCCAGCGAGTAACCATCAGTGAGCCACTCTGCCAAAGGGCGTCCACATACAACATCAGTAGGGGAGGAAATGCTCTATCTGACCGAGATTGAGAGCTACAAGTGATGTGGCAAAGAGTATACAGTGCTACACATGTTTGTTAAAGGGAATGAGTGGCAAATCAGGAACAGTCACCCAGACTCTGACCCCAAAGAAGCAGGACATGAAGGAGCTGATGAATTCCTTGCCCTTCCTCACCCCACCCCCCACCCTAAGAATTGTTCCCAGGCAAGGTGGTTCCCTGTGCTCTCCAGAAACACAATAGAGGATAAACCAATCAGCTGGGTTTCCTGCAGGACTGTCCCTAGCACAGAACACACCACCTTGTGTTTGCTGTTGCTCCTACCCTCCCTCATTGCCTTCTTGTTGTAATCCTAGAATTCTACACAAAGGATCAGCTTGTAAGATTTTATGGAGTCTCTTTTTTCTAGGAATCTGTAGTTAAGACAGTGGAATTATGAAATACACATGCCTAAAGTGTTTTCTATAATGGTGGGATACATATTTGTGGATTTAAGATGCAAATCTATGACTTGGAGTCACCATAATGCTTTATCTCAGCCCTACCCCAAACCCAGGTGAAAGGTGGTATTTCAAACTGTGATAATGAAAGCTTTGTAGTGCTCCCCTGTGCCTCTGACATTCTTTTCTCTCTGATTGTAATGCCTTTGGCCTTACTTGCAGGAACATATTTACCCTGACAGGTTCTGATGCTCACTAGGTACTTCCCTATAAATTCTTACTTACAAACTCTTTATTACCCACAGCCATATACTCTATCTTCCTACTTGTCATACAATCTGATTTCTTTATAGACTTTATTAGCAATGGAGGTAGTTTTGGGTCTCTTTTTATTAACATATGCTTTTATTATATTAAAGTCAAGCAGTGATCTGACAATAAAACATTACTTTCAAAGTGTTGTGATGTTAAATTCTGCTTACAGAAGATGTAGCCTCCCAACTTAGGTTTTCCCAAGGAAAAGATAAATGAAACCATCAATTGCTTTTCAGAATTGATAGTTGCTGCCTCAAAAGTGATTTTACTCAAATACTGAATTAAAACAAAGAAACCCTTAGGACAGAATGAATTGATTTACTTTGGTTTGCATCCACATTTCAGCATTTAGTAGATTCAAAAAGAAAAATGAAAAATGAAACCAATTATTTTGACAGATCTGCCCACATGTTGATGAATTCCTAGGAAGAGACACCAAAATCAAGGCAGGCACCAAATTAAAGGTTAGCTTTGTTCTATAGATGTCAGATTCCAAAATAGTACTCCGACAACAAGAACATGATGGAAACAGAGCTCTGTTTGTTTAAAGCACATCTTTTCAATTTTCAAAAACAAAAATAAATATGGAGAAAGAAAACAATTCATTTAGAGGAAATGTGTATGCTTACAAGTGTCCTTTCTCCAAATGAAACTATTGAGGTCTTTGGAAGCTGTCAGGGCTGAGAAATCCTGAAAAATTACTGCTCTTTTCCCCAAAATCAAAATCTGAGCTAAAAATCCTTCAGCTGATGATAGCATCTGGTTCTACTACATTAGAACCATTGACTCTGTTTATAAAAATTTTACTTACAAATTTAACAGAAAGTGATTTTGGCTACTATGGTCCACATTTTATTTTAAGACTGTATAACTGGTTTTCATAAATTGTTCTTGGAGACCCATTTATCATCCCTGTCCATCTTGTATAAATTATGTCTTTCTCATTTTGTAGATACCAGCTAACAGTGCCATCTCACACTCCTTTACAAGTTCTTCCAATTCAGAATTGCATGGACTTTTACCCTAGTGTCCTCTGTGGTTGCTATTTTATATCACTGGCATTGAGAAAGCTGCCCTTTCTTTATTCAGGTGACCCTCTCAGTTCAAGATAAACTCATTATTAGGCAACACAAAACCCCATTTGTTTATTATTATTATAATTATGCTATTGTTTCTGCTGTCGTTCTCCTTGACTCTACCCTCTGTCTTGGATCTAGTATTTTTCCAATCCATTTATCATGACTCTACTCTCAAATATATCCTTAGAAATATAAATTATTAATTTTGTAGGGAATTTAATTTTCCAAAATGATCCAGTGCTGTCACTCATATTTTATTCCAGCTTATGTGAAATCATCCCTGTTGGTAGATGTAGATCTAATCCATTTCTTGCAGCTGCTGTATGGTTCCTATCATCTGCAAAAGCACCTTTATTATCTTTCCTTCTAGTGATGTCATTTCACCTTTTGTTACCACAAACAATGATGAAATGAATAACCTTACAGATATCTCTTCTACACTTGAACAAGAATTACTCCAAGATATTTACCCAGAAGTAGGATTGCAGGGTCATACTGTATCACATTTAACTTCATTAAGTGTAGGCACATGGTTCTTTTAAAAGGGTCCACCAGCAGACACTCTGTCCAGGAGACCATACTTCTCACAGAACGAACAAAAGTCAGTGTTTATTTTTGATTCTCATTCCTTCTTTCCTTTCTCCTTACTTTAGGTTTCACGGGGACATCTTTTTTCTAGTTTCTTATTATTTGCTAACTTTTCATTCTGAAATGTCTGAAATGAATGATGATTGACAATGACTTTACTCTATGAGGTAAACCCCTTTTGAAATATTAGATGAACTACTAAGGGCCAGGACATTTAGTTATTGCCTCTTCTCTGCTTCAGTTGTTGCAGAGCATTTTTCTAGGCACCTATATTACAGCACATTATATTTCGGTCTGTGATTAGATTAGTTTTGCTTGGTTTTGTTTCATTTTTAATGGCTGCTTCCCAATTAGTCCAAGAATCATGACAGGAAAGATATTTTTCCAGCTGTCACCCCAGAGCTCCTATTACAAAACTTTGGTCTGAGAGGATGTTCAACAAATGTTTGTTAAATTGACTTAGCCTAAGGTGGCACAAGTCAGTTTTCTGAGGTGTCACAAGCTGCTATTCCAACATGCTAGATCTCAAGTGTTTCAGTGAAGCCAGCTTAGGTTAAAGATGTCAACCACAGCCAAATCTATAGAAATCCAAGACTTAATGTGAGGTTTTCAGAGAACCAATAGTCCTGGAAAACCTGAAAAGGAAAGTTAAAATTGGATGCATTACAATTTCTTCTGAACTGTAACAGGGAGAGCATTAATGCTAGTTTGAACAGCGGTGGGTAACAGTGACTACAATGCTCTCTGTTCTTATGGTTAGTCATTTCAGCATCAAGCAAAAGACTATAACTCAAAAAGACACATTAGGCTTTAAGTATGACTCTTAGACTCTTACTGAACAAGATGAGGTTCTCCTGCCTGACACCTATCACATGACATGTCGTGTTAAGGTCCATGAGTCTGTTTGTGGTCTGAGAGCCGAGATTCTTGGTGGCTCCCAATAATTTCTTTTAAGCCACAGTCATTTTGTGGCTGAGTCATCCCTACTTTAAAAGCCTTAGGGGTGTGTTTAGAGTACAGATTTCAGGTAAATTTGAACAAGCACATTGGTCATAGGGAAATGACTAAAGAAGTTGTTAAGAAACAACTTAAAAAGCAAAACTGGTTCTTCCTCTAGTCCTGAGTAAACCTAAGCAAGTCTCATAGCTTCATTATTTCACTATTTTCTCAACTGTAAAGGACTATACCAAAATATGCCTCTTACTGTCCACCTGCACCACTGACCCCAAACTAGGGGAAAAAATCACATGCAGAGTGGTGACAAATCCCTGTTTGAGCTAGTTAGTTATCTGGATTGGGTAGCATGACATAATAGTCTGGGTAATATGAGGTAGAGCAGGGACATGGGACAAACATCATGATTAATCTTTCCTGCCTGTGATGAAAATGCCACAATATAAATAGTACAGTAAGAAGAAGAGGGATTACATCTTAAGGCTAAGATTCCATTTTAAAAACCAGGGAGTTAGAGGTAAGATTCCTAACATATTTTACAGTAATCAGCCAATAACTGACCCTATCTTAAGGCAGGGCAAACAGTCTTAAATAATATGGCCCCACTGCTTGAGAGTAACCACTGTCTTGGAGAAGAACAGGATCAAAAAATTACTTAAGTTTATCTTAAAGAATATCCAAAGGAATGACTATGGATAATGACATGTCTCTCACTGTAGATAGACATCACAAGACCATATATCAAGCCTATGTCCCCGGCCCTTTGTGCCATTCTTGAAAGCCTTGAAAGACAAAATCCTTAAGCCGTTAAGCACACCTTCTCTCTGAGGTTACCCACACTCCCCTTTCTTTCAGCAGGAACTTTGCCTTAAATAAATCCTTTTTGCTGCTCAACTTACTGCATTTTGTCTCTGCTCTTTCAGGCCTCTTGGGAGCTTAATAAGAGACCCTTTTTCCCAGTTGTAAGCATCTTTGTTACTTTGCTACTTCATTCAATTTTCTAGACTTAAACACAAGTTCTCTCTCTCTGTTACACTTCAGACAAGTAGGGAAGGGCTACTAAGATCTCTGATTTGGGCCTGCAAGTTCCCATTGCCATGGTGACCTGGATGAGACTGCAGCTGTACAATCGTGCTCTCTAGTAGTCTACTCAAAAATCTCCTTTCTTTGCCTTTGGAAAGCACTTATAATCTTACTCCATCCAGGGCTCTGTGGCTCCCCCAAATTCTGGATGGTAGAGGCTTAATTCCCATGCTGTGTAGATTCCAGTGGATGCTGGATGCCAGGTGCCCCATGCCAAGCAGGAGTTCAGTGAACTTTCCTTTCCTCCCTCTGCTCTTTCTTGCTCTCTGTTGTCTGCATGTCTGCTGCCATCTGCTGCTACTCACGCTTTAATGAATTCCTCTCTTACCGACGGTCGTCCAACCTGTTCAAGAATTCTTTCTCAATCGGAGTCAAGAATTCTCCCCCGTCTAGATTCAGGTTTCACGTAGTGCACAGGGAGAGACCTTCCCAGATGCAGCTGCCTGACAACAAACAGATAAGCAAATGTTTGTCCTGGAAAGAAAATGTTGGCTGGGGATGAGTGTCTGGAAGAAAAACAGCCTGGAAATGCATGTTTTGACAAAGTGGGAGTCTGCATGACCATGTAAAGAAGGAGATGTTTAGGAAAACTACACAATTGGAAGACTGAACAAAACCTTTGAGCTAATTCTAACCTGAGCAAATTACCATGGGAACAGAAAGTTTACTATAAAAAAATGATATTAGGGACATTTAGAGTCACTTTTAAAGTAGGGTTTATAATGGCTAGGAGAAGAGAAGTTCAGTCTGGCATTAAATACCCTAGAAGTACCTCTCCCTATTTAATTTACTTCTAGTGTCTTTGGCACATAATTTCATTCATTCATGTAATAAATGCATTTGTGACTGCAAGTTTGTGCACAAATGTGAGCATGTGTATTGAGTATGCACATGTGTGTGCATGTGTATGTGCTCATATGTATGTGTTGAACACAGGTGCTAAGCCCTAGTTATAGTGGAGAATGGGAAAAAACATGAGCTCTGCCTTCCTAGGTTAGTTTTTAAGCAGAGGAGTGACACCAGATTATGAGATGTTTTGAAGACCAGGACTGACTATATCAAATTCATACATGTCTACCACAGTGCCTTAAAAATCCTGTGTTCAGTTAAATATTTGCTAAATAATTTTTTAATAATTTTGCATTTTAGATCATTTAAAAAATAATTTTAAAATGTCAGTTTCAACTTGAAATCACCATCAAAGTTGTGATTTGTGCCAAAATAATGCACTGTTCAACATGAATAATGTATATATATTTGCAGATAGATAGATGACAGAAAGATAAATGGATAGATACACACAACACACACACACAGACACAATTTGAGCATCATCTTTGGTTCTTAGATCCTGTTAACAGAATCCTCTCAAGCTAATTAGATCAGATAGGCATTTATTAGAGAATATTGGGTGATATACAACATCCAGGAGGGCCAAGACTCAAGATTAGATGCTACACAGGCAGGAGCAACTGCAGACAGGAGAAACACTCTATCCCCTGTGAGACTGGCCTAAGAAAAACTTCATTCCTGCTACAATCCAGCCCTTTCCTCAGATTTTCATCAAAGCTGACCCAGAAGAACTAAATGTTTCTACCACCATGCCAAACATGCTTGTTCTCTTCTTCCCAATACCATGTTGCATAAAACCTGAGCTACATGTGGAACTCTGACTGCAAGGGAATGTGGGCATCACAGCCATTAACTTTCCAGACTCCCCAGTGCCCAAAAGGCATATTAGGAGGGAAATTGGAATGAGTAACAGGCAAGCCAACCCATCCTGAGATTGCCTCAGTTTACACTGAACTGTTGGTCACAGCCAACTGTCTGGCTGGAACTGCACTCCTTGGAGAGGACCATAAAACAGAGTAGAGGGGAAGGCTGTGCTCACTAGAATGCGTGTTGGTGAGATGAATAAATCCTTCCCCTTACTCCTGTTCATCATCTCCTTCCCGGTGCTAGTGGCAAGCAAGAAGTGACCTTACACATCTGGAGAAACTTAGGTTTTGAAACTGAATGAACTGCATTTCCTCAGAGGAAAATAAATGCCTGCCTGACTTACATCACAGAGCTCTTGTGAAGGTAAAGCATAGGTGTGTTGTGTAGTGATCTCATCGGCACCATGTCCAGATTCTGTTCCTTCTGGGAGACCTCTGTTTCTCCTGCCAGCATACATCAGTCTTATCACAGACTCTTCCTTTCATTTCACCTGACTCAACTGAATCAGTCACCAAGATCTGTTTAATCTACTTCAAAAACTCCTCTCAAATCTAAGCTCTCCCTTCCACTTCCACTATCCAGGCAGTTGAGTTTCTCATCCTGTTCATCTTGGTTGTTACATGTGTTCTAACTGTTCATCCCGCCTCTGGCATCACCAACTGCCCATTTGTGCATACTAAAAAAAGTGAGAGCATGCCACTTCAGTCTTACTGCATCAGAATTCACACTGTGGAAATGCCGCCACCTGAGCAAAGACCCCTTTCTAAAGGGAGGGGAGAGTGATTGCAGTAATGACTTAGGATCACTTGTTAGTTAGTGATCAGTGTTAGAAGTTTCAGAAGGGAACAAATTGAAAATTAAGTGATGTTCCGGGGCTGACTTCTAGAGATGGATCATTATTAAAACAGGAATATTGTCTTTGTCAAAGGATGTTTTCTAAACCTCCACAAAATTCCTCTGTTTTCCTGATCTCATTAGTCATGAATTACATAACTTTCAAATTTTTCTGCTTTATTATTTCATCTTATCTCTGTCATTTTCATCATGTACCTCCCCTACCTAGTCTCCATTCCTGTGAGTTTGCACACAAAAAATAGGATATTCTGTCTTACCTCTATATTGCACCAAATGGTACATACATCTCAGCACATTCTCAATGCTTTCCCACATACCTTACATGTCTTAGTTTTGAGAGAAACACCATCCATGTCTACTACCTAATTTGGAGCTTCCTTTCCAGGTTTTAATTTACCTCAAAATAGTTATTTCTCTCACAAGCAGGGAGCTGAACAAACTACCTCTAATAAAGCAAACCATATGACACTTTTTAAAGTAAATTCTAGGTCATTACTTTATTTTTACACCCAGTACCTTTTATATCCAGGTAGCTTCTAAACAAAAAGAATACAGTATACTAAACAACTTACTTGGGAACAGATAGAGATAAGCATTCTAGCATAACACTTCTAATGCCTAATTATTTTAAACAAATTCTTCACTCACAGAAATTACAGAAAATCAGAAACTGCCTATTAAGGCTGTGCAGTATGAAAGGTGCTTGATCAAGAGGGAAAACATATTTTTAGGAGATAATTGGGAGAAGCATATTTAACATTTCCAATTTTTTTCCATTGAGATTGTGTTTACTTATGTGAGTTTGGAAATAAATTACCCTAGGGCTAAAAATGCAGAAATCTCTGGCCATTTCTGTTTCTTTTGGAAGATCCTCCTCTGCTTATTTTCTGGATGTATGTTGTCAGTGTTCTTACCTAACACCCCATCACTCATCTGTCTGTAGGCTTTCTCCAGTCATCTTACCCCTTGGCTACATACCATCAATATGGGGGTGACCGCCATATTTATATCTCCAGCCCGCAATTCTCTTCTGAACTCCAGATATGAGTGTAAAGATAGCCTCTTAATAAGTCTGCCTGATCATTCCAAGAGCAGTTTATGCTCAATCTAGAGTGAAACTTGATTTCCTGCTTTGTTACTGCTCCTGCCCCTGACTGCCTGATCTCAGTAAATGGCACCAATGTTTACCTAGTAGCTTCAAACCCAAACCCTGGAGTCACACTTTTTATCACTTCTCCCTCACATTTCACACCAGTCTTTCATCAAGCCTTGGCAATAGAATCTCTATAATTTAACTCAGGTTTGCCCGTTGCTCTCCATCTCTAGTGCCAGTCCTGCAGACCAGCCATCATTGTTTGTTGCCTGAACTACATCCATAGCCTACCACATTCAGTCTTGTTCACTCTCAAAACTTGGTCTGAGCAACAATCATAGTGATCTTTGTGGAACATATATTGTCCTTCATCTCTGTTGTGTTCAAAAATATTTCAATAGGTTGAGAGACTGTATTTTCCAAAGATGGCCACAATAACCCCATCACTCATGCTCATGTGACCACATATGATTATGTCTCTTCCCATCAAAAGGTGGAGTATAACTCCCCTCAGGCTTGAGTCTGGGGCAGCCTTTGATTCACTTCTAGTTAATGTCATGCAGTAGAATGATACTGTGGGACATCTGAGGGTAGGTCAAAAAAGGCCATGAAACTTCCATCTGATGTCCTTGAGACTCTTACTTTGGGGGATGCTAACTATAAAAATTCAACTACCCTGTGACCGCCATTCTAGAAAGGTCACGTTATAGGCACTGCAGCTGACAGCCTCTGATGAGCTCCCAACATCAGCTGCCAGCCATGAGGGAAACATCTTGGCAATTCAGCCCTCTTGGGACTTCAGCTGAGTCTACCTCTAGGCAACACCTGAACAAAACCAAAGGACAGAATCTCGGCAAGAGGTGCGCAGTTGAGCCATTTTTGTATTATGGGACAAAAAAATTTAAGAAAGACAAAAGTCATTCTTACACCACTAAATTTTGGGCTAATTTTATCAGCTTCCCCTTGCCCTCAAGATAAAATCCAAAATCTTTTCTGAAATCTCTAGGGTCCTGACTATCTGCCTCCTGGCTAGTCCTCTGGTATCTTCTCTTGTCTTGCTCACCAGACTTCAACCATACTCACCCTTGCTTATTCCTCATTAAGAATTTCACTGATACTACTGTTCTGCCTGCCTGAAATGCACTCTCTGCCTGCAAACATCAACTCAGCCCTCAGGTCTGGATTGCCATTTCTTCAAGAGAGCTAAAGGGACATGTGACAAGGTGGGAAGGTTTGATTATTGTTGTTGCTATTCAATGGAAGAAATTAAGCAGAAGTATCCAGTAATGGGAATAAGCTTGTGGAAAGGGAGTTGAGGATAGGGGAGAGAAAAGATGGTTAATGGAGAAGGACGGGCTTCAAGTACTTCATCCCTGTGTCATACGTTGAAGAGAAGAAAAATAAGAATAGGTAGCATGTGGATATCTCCTGCATTCCCTACAAACCTACTCCACCTAGACGAGGCTGACCTGTAGGGACTGCATCAGGAGGCCTTCTGGAGGGAGGAGAGAGAAGTGGGAATATTTAGTCTCCCAGCCTCATCCCTTTGGGTTGCTTCTGGCTGGCTGCTTTCCTCACCTTGCAATGGTCCCAGCTCCTCTCAAAGTGGCCTTCTGCACACAGGCTCCACTGGGATTCCTCCCTACTGCAGTCCCCTACTAGCACCCGGTGATCCACTGTCCCCTGGGGTTCCCTATACCCAATTAATGTCTTTGTAAATCATCTGTTCATTAAACCATCCTCAAAGTATCCTAATTTAAGTGTGACATCTGTTTCTAGCTGGGCCCCTGTCAGATACAGGGAGGAATGCTGATGAGTAAGTAGGTGGAAAGGGCAAGGGAATGTGAAGCAGACAACAAACTCAGTATATAATACTGTTCCAGTTAAATTAGAAAAATGAGAAATAAATCACTGAAACAATATTGTCATTAAACCAAGAAAGGGTAAAATGAAAGGGCTAAAGGATTGCCATCTGTATCAAAATATAGAAAGTGCTTATAGAGAAAAAAGTCATCTTTCATTAAACAAGGGAATCGAGCTTTTCTTTTTCTCACATAAAGTTCTGAACTAGCAGAGTCAAGTTAAGGAGAGAGTATGGAAAACAAGACAGATGCATCATTTTTATTCCTTTCATGTTATCCACACATGGCAAACTTATGACATCACCCTTGCCACACACATCACAGTGGCCTCTGCCAACTGGAATACCTTAAGTGGTCTTTTTCTTTTTCTCTAAGTTTTTCTGAATTCAAAAATCAAACAACAATATTTTTGAATAAATGCCTAAATCAGGACAGATGCACTCTCCCTAAGATCCACTGGGCCTACACCAATTCTTGAATTAACCCTTGCTCCTGAGGAAGAATAGCAAGGTATAAATGAGAAATTCTAGTACATGGTAAATGGCCACCATCTTCAACATCCCCACCAAGCTATTTTTAAGGCTTTTTATATTATTATTATAATTGTTATTATTATTATTAATTATGCTTTGACTGCTGGAGAGAAATGCTAAGAGCACTTATATACCATCCTTAGAACATCTGTCCTGTGCCAGGGAGTATTCTAAGAAATCATGTAAGTCATATCACATTATCCTATGATGCATGACATTATTACTCCTATTTTCAGATAAAGAAACAAAAGCACAGAAAAGTCAGGCATGTTGCCAAAGTCACACACTTACCAGCTGTGTTAGCAAAGGCGCACAGGACAGCGAGATCATCTCATCAGGGATAATTCACAACTGGAACACTTGACAGATGAGCTTTTATTTTTCTTTCTTTTCTCTTCTTTGTAAGTGCTAAGAAATGGTCTACAACTTGGAGATTCGGATATGTTTTGACTTCAGGCTTCTTCGGGAAGTAACAAAGAATTCCATTCTGCCCTGCTCTACCTCCCGGGAAAATCCCAAATCCCATACATTGTCATGAAACTCTTTCCTGTAATTTGCCAGTTTGTCATTCATATGGTGATTCTAGGAAATCAGCCAAAGAAATGGATTTAACACTGTGCATTAGGATAGCTGTCATTTAAAAAAAAGTGGAAAATAACAAATGTTGGTGAGGCTGTGAAGAAATTGGAACCCTTGTGCATTGCTGTCACAAATGTAAAATGGGTACAGCCTCTGTGAAAAATTTTGGAGGTTCCTCCAAGTTAAATGTATAATTACCATATAATCTAGCAATTCCATTTTTTGGTATACCCCAAAGAATTAAAAGCAGGGACTCAGATGTTTGGACACCAATGTTCATAGCAGCACTATTCTTACTAACCGAAGATGGAAACATCCCAAGTATCTATGGACGCTGAATAAATAAATATGTTGTGCCCAAAGTTGTGAATCCCAGAAGACCACCAAGGAGCCAACACCGATGCAAAAGCAAAGAGCCTTTATTCAAGCTAGCTCAAGCTCAATCTCTCATCTACACCATCACAGTGGCAAGATGCCAGAGAAAGAGAGCGAGTTTCAATACCACAAAGGTTTTACGGGGTTCTAGGGCAGTTGGTGGGGTGATGGTCATGGCTCTGGTCAATTGGCAGGGTGAGCTCTTTGCTGACTGGAGAGGAGAGAGACCAAGCTCCGATTGGGTGAAATAGGATCCAGGTCCTGATTAGCTGAGGTAGGATCCGGGTCCCAATTGGCTGAAATAGAATCTGGGAGCTTGCCCTTTCATTCCCCCCTTTCTCTGGATCCTAAGAAGGGACCCAATCATGGGTCTAATAAGGTTTTGCAGTTGTAAGGAGATAAAGGCTGATACTGTTGTCTTAGCACCATTAGCTGGACTGTATTAATTCTATCTTTAAAGTTATCAGTTTATTGAGGATACATGGTCTAAAGGTAAGCAGGAGTAACAAGATTACTAGGGGCTTGTATTGAGCACAGAGGACTATCAGTTGGACGGCCCCCACGTGTTCTCTGACAATCTGGACCAGCCTGTTGATGATACAGGGCCAAAGGGTTAGTAAAAGGAGTAGGATGGCAAGGGGTTCTTGAATACTAAAGATAATTTCCTGCCTTGATTTCTCTCTGGGACACTTGCACCTTGGTTCAGGTGCACATCAAAAGACTGCATGCCCAGACTCTAAGGTGGGTTGAGATATTGTCTATTTGCTAAAGAATCCTGCCTTTTACTATGCCATCTACAGCTGGGTCTGCATGCTAAGTCAATTGCTCAGCTTGCAAAATTACCTAGTCAGATCTCAAGGAGGGAAGACAGCACATAGGCCTGGGCCTTTTAGTATGCTAAAGTGAATCTTATACACGATTACAAATGATTAGCATAATAAAACATGTGCTACTCTTCTTTATCTGGGGAACATTAACTGATCTCACTGAAGAATGATTCTAGAGCTTAATGTTCAACATAGTTTTAGTAGGGCGGGGTTTCCAGCATGTAGTTACGTTGCTCTGATTGCAAATATCCTGCCTTGCTTTCTCCAGAGGCTCTCACCTTATTCTGTCTAGATTATGGTCCCTGTCTCATTCTCCCCTCTACAGATGGAGACCCTAGCTGCTGCTAGGGAAAAGGG